TCTTTATTTATCAAAATATAAGGGTATCCATGTATAAGGCTGGCTGCAAACTCCTTCACAAATAAAAATACACCCCATAAGTACACATAACAGACCCCTTTTCCACTTCTATTGTTCATAGAGGCATAAGCAAGAAAAAATAATTCTAAGATGAGAATTTCATGATAGTAGAAATTTTAATCTGTAAATTTGGGAAAAGCTATTCACATAAAAGATGCCATTTTCTTCTTGGGAGATATTTCCCTGGTTAGTTTTACCCCATGGGTTCCAATGGGTACATAGTTCTAAAAGTGCAGAGGGACCCTTTTCGGTTGCGAGACCATGAATCCAAAGCCCAGGGTCTTGAAGTTTTGTTTTAGTGTGGATGCCAAGGACAGTCTTTCTTTGATGTTTCCAGAAGATCCAAACCATGAAAAGCTTTTTTACCTCATGAAAATACACTGTAGCATAACAATATACTGTTATAACATCAGCCCTCTTGCATGGGAAAGCTTTTAAACAACCAGAAAACATGCATTGAAAATAACAATTTAATCAAATCCCTTTATAAAATGTTTAAATAGCCCATCAGGTGACCAAATGTACCTGAAGCTTTGTTTTCCCAGGAGTATGGAATCAAGTATTGGTTATAAACTATTTTAAACAATTTGTAAGTCATTACACCAATGTATTCAATTTGGATTATTTTATTTTTGTCATGATGATTTCCATGGAATGCAGATTTTTTTGAGATGGAGTTTTGCTTTTGTTGTCCAGGCTGGAGTGCAATGGCGTGATCTCAGCTTACTGCAACGTCCGCCTCCCGGGTTCAAGCAATTCTCCTGCCTCAGCCTCCCGAGTAGTTGGTATTACAGGGATGTGCCACCATGCCAGGCTAATTTTTTGTATTTTTAGTAGAGATGGGATTTCACCATGTTGGCCAGGATGGTCTTGAACTTCTGACCTCAGTGATCCACCTGCCTTGGGCTCCCAAAGTGCTGGGATTATACAAGCTTGGGAGAAAAGAAAAAAAAAAAAAAAAGAACTCAGGAAGGATGAGGTGGCCATCTTGGTTCTCCATGAGTCCATGCTTCATTAACATTAGACTTATATCTTCTTGTATACCAGTTGTTTTTCCAAATTAGGTGCATAGCACTGACAAGAAAATTTCGTTATTTTTGTGGTTTACAATAACTTAGCATAATAACCATAATTATAATTGATAGCATATAGACATTAGAATTTTATAAATTCCATACAATTTAGGAATATATATATTAATATTACTCACAAAAATATAACCTGAAGAAGGTTGAACACATTTTGGCAATCCCATGTACCTGAAGATGTCAAATAATCCTGCTTACCTCCTTTTTGGACGTTTTCAGGAGCCCTCTGATTCATTAAAAAAGCCAGTCATTAGGAAAGACAATTTTGAAACTGAAGTTTGATTTTGGAATTCCAGATTACCATAAATTACTTACTTTGCCAAAATGATGACTGAGAAATTTTAAAGAAGTAAAAACCTAGGCCGGGTGCAGTGGTTCACGCCTGTAATCCCACACTTTGGGAGGCTGAGATGGGTGGATCACCTGAGGTCAGAAGTTCAAGACCACCAGCCTGGCCAACATGGTGAAAACCCCATCTCTTAAAAAAAAAAAAAAAAGTAAAAACCTTTTATAACCTTTTACCAAAAACAAAACAACAACAAAAAAAAAACCTCACATTCTACTGTTGTCACACATCTTGCACATACCCAGCACTTTGGGAGGCCGAGATGGGTGGATCACCTGAAGTCAGGAGTTTGAGACCAGCCTGGCCAACATGGTGACACCCCATCTCTAAAAAAAAAAAAAACTGTTTCTAGTAGTCTTAATTGCATGTTACAATGAGGACTCTTAGCAGTTTTAACTTTAATGTAAAACCTGGTGAATTGTGTTCTGATAAGGTTTGACTGTTTCCAGCATAGCTTAGGGGCGTGGCCAACTCCACACATCCCCAGGCCTTACCTGGCTGGAAAGCAGGCAAGTTAAACAATTTCAAAAGTCAAAGAAGCAGTTTATAACCTTAAAGTATTTGGCAAACTTAATATTTGAACATAATTTAAATCACATGTTTACATTTGGAAGACAATTGTATTTCACCAATGATCTTTAAAACCATCTTTATTTCCCAAAGATTACTCAAGTCACATGAACTAAATAAAATGCATTACGTTTTTCACTTTTCTGACTAAATATTGGACTTAGGCTCTTATTATTATTAAGCCAATTAATTAAAAAAAAAACTTTACAGAGGAGATATACAGTGACTTTTACTTTATATTTAACCAGTTTGTGCAGAGAGAAAGAGGCCAGAGACTGGTAAAAAGTTTTTACCCTTGGCCAGGCATGGTGGCTCACACCTGTAATCCAAGCACTTTGGAGGCCAAGGCAGGCAGATCACCTGAGGTTGGGAGTTTGAGACCAGCCTGACCAACATGGAGAAACCCCATTTCTACTAAAAATACAAAATTAGCCGGGTGTGATGGCGCATGCCTGTAATCCCAGCTACTCAGAAGGCTAAGGCAGGAGAATCACTTGAACCTGGGAGGTGGAGGTTGGGGTGAGCTAAGATGGAGCCATTGCACTCCAGCCTGGGCAACAAGAGTGAAATTTCATCTCAAAAAAAAAAAAAAGCTGGTGTGCTCCATTAATTCCTGTAGGCCCAAGAAAGTTAGCTTAGGAGTTCCAGGTAAATGGAATGAATGATGACTTGCTGGAAGTGAACATAGAACAAAATAAAAGCCTTACACTAGGAACTAAAAAACATCATGGTTTTATATATGTATCCACACACAAGCAAAGCCACAAGAGAATAAACAGCAAACAAAAACAAGCAAGAAACCAACCCGAAATTTTCCTACTCAATTTATCCTGGAGGTTATAGTGTTACCTAGGGCCCCCAAAAACCCACATAATGAATATTTCATCCCTGATGTAAAATTAAGTATCCTTAAGTTCACTAATATTATTATACATTCTGTACAATTAAGAAACTCACTTTAGACACATGACCAATAAGCACTCCAGCACCATCCACAAGAAACAGTAAACAGTGTGAAGCAGTGCAGGCATGTATGTGAAATGTAGCTCCACACTAAATCCAGCTTCATGCTTAACTCTATTAAAAAAAAAAAAGAATTGCCAAACTGCTGGTGCATTTTTACAATACTTCTTATTTTACTTTAATCAAGACTAAAAGCTTTAACTATGGGCCAGGCATGGTGGCTCATGCCTGTAATCCCAGCACTTTGGGAGGCTGAGGAGGGCGGATCACGTGGTCAAGAGAGCGAGACCATCCTGGCCAACATGATGAAATCCCATCTCTACTAAAAATACAAAAATTAGCTGGGCGTGGCGGTGCATGCCTGTAGTCCCAGCTACTCCGGAGACTGAGGCAGGGGAATCATGTGAACCTGGGAGGTGGAGGCTGCAGTGAGTTGAGATTGCATCACTGCACTCCAGCCCGGGCAACAGAGCAAGACTCGTCTCAAAATTAAAAAAAAAAAAAAAAAAAAAAAGAGCTTTAACTATGAAAATGTAAATTACCCAAATGCCTCCAATTCTCTATCAGGTTTTAAAGGATATTTTATTATTTAAACTTTTCCACATCTTTCTCCCCTACTTAATGATTCCTTACTACATTGTTTCCTAAATAACGTTTTTAAATCTGTAATTTGAACTTTTAGATAACTTCTGGATTACACAAAATTATTTATTTTTTTCACTAATAACCCTTTCTGGCACATTTTGTATACTGAATCACATGTTAACTAGAATTTTATCCTTGGTAATCTAAAACTCTAGTGAAACCTTAAAAGGCAAGAAATCCTGAACTATTAGATATGGGCATTTATAGATAAGAACAATTCCACATTTTAGAAACATATTTCCCCATATTACAACCCTTTCTTAATTGGAAATGACCCAGAAATTAAATGAGTGTCAAAAATAACTTTAAGATTTTAATTTACACAAAACATTTACCTAAAACATTTATCTCATTCACTGTAAGCATGATTTTTACTTTTTTTTTTTTTTTTTTGAGACAGAGTCTTGCTCTTGTTGCCCAGGCTGGAGTGCAATGGTGCAATCTCAGCTCACTGCAACCTCCGCCTCCTGGGTTCAAGCGATTCTCCTGCCTCAGTCCCCCAAGTAGCTGGGATTACAGGCATGTGCCACCACGCCTGACTAATTTTGTATTTTTAGTAGCGGTGGGGTTTCTCCATTGTTGACCAGGCTGGTCTTGAGCTCCCAATCTCAGGTGATCTGCCCACCTTGGCTTCCCAAAGGGCTGGGATTACAGGCATGAGCCACCCGCACCTGGCCAACTTTTACTTTTAACAAGGGAGACAGTAGACATCAATCAACATATGTAAAATGAACATTGGTTTGGCTTAGATCACAGGTGGGAGACAAACTGTTGCCTTATTTTGAGTTTCTGATTAGCCTTTCCAAAGGAAGCAATCAGTTATGAGACTTTGAATAGAATGGGAGCCAGGCTGGCCCTCAGCAACTCCCAGCTTGAATTAACACTGACATTTTAAAATATCTAGCAAAGACAAACATAAAATTTAGACAAAATGTATGCTGACAATTCTGAAGGCCTATTTTTATTCCACCAATAATTTTAAAGCTAGATTCTTTAGTAAAGTTATACTTAAGTCACATGAACTTGAAGTGCTTAGACTTACCTAATTTATGAGTGCACTTTTACTTATAAGCCAATTTAGTAGACACAACACATTACAATAAGAGTACATACAAATAAACACATTTAGACATGTATACACCCACATAACAAAGATCCAGTAGCTTGGAACCTTAGCCATGAGACAGCAATATAGCTTGCTGGTTTTACTTTGCCCCAATAGATAATTCAAGGAAGGCTGTGAACCAAAATTTCGGGTAAAGCAGTTTCCATGGCAGTTTGATTTTTTTAAAACCTTCCCAGACTCCTAGGAGCACTGGGGCCAAGCAGTACCAAAGGAGGGCACCACACGTTAACCAGGCCCCTTGCTTAGAACAGCAGCACAAAAGCCTGGATACATGCAATGCCACCTCACTTTCCCATTAGACCGGTACACTTCAGATTCTAAACAATTTTGGGCCAAGCAGCATTGCAACTGCAAGAGAAGAGTCTAAGGAGGGTTTAATACGAGACTCAGGGCCAGACACGGTGGCTCACACCTGTAATCCCAGCGTTTTGGGAGGCTGAGGCGGGTGGATCCTAAGGTCAGAGATTCAAGACCAGCCTGGCCAAAATGTTGAAACCCCATCTCTACTAAAAAGAAACTATAAAAATTAGCCAGGTGCGGTGGCAGGCTCCTGTATTCCCAGCTACTTGGGAGGCTGAGGCAGGAGAATTGCTTGAACCCAGGTGGCAGAGGTTGCAGTGAGCTGAGATCCTGCCACTACACTCCAGCCTTGGCCACAGAATAAGACTCCATCTCAAAAAAAAAAAAAAATACTACATCTCAGAACCTCTGCCAAGGGCATCCCCTTTGGGCAGGTTGAGGTCCTCAGGATCCCCGGGAGCGCCCTCCTGTGGAGTCCAACCTTAGAGTTCCAGACATCTCTGGCACTACTTAGGTGGGCACTGGTGCCACTTTGCATGTGTTCCCTCCAGAGCCTGCTATGAACGTTGTAAGAATAGCCATGAACTGTGGTAAGAACTGGATGCTGGATAGGCCTTTTTGTTCCTTAGCCAGTAGACTATGATTAGGGAAGAATTAAGAATAGGAAAAGAAGGTTTAAGTCTCCTGAATCAAGTGTGAGTTTGCTCTGAGCTGCAATGCAGGTAAGAATGAGGGACTATGTGCAGAAAATATTTTTTAAAAAGAAAAAAAAGTCCTTCTCCCTTCCAGGCAAGGCAGTTATTCCCATTCCTTCAGGCAGTATGGCAGTACTGGGGAGTGACCCTTGCCAGTTGCCCTTAATTTGCAAGGAACTATTAAGAAACAGCTGCTCAAAGACTGAAATACAATGAGAGAAATAAAAAAATGAAAAGACCCTGGTCCCTTAAGCAGACCAGCAGTGGCAGTCAGGCCTCTCCACGTAGACACCCCTTAGTTTCACTGACTTCCATGAGTCCCGGGTTGGAAAGGAAGAGAGAGAGAGAGAGAGAGAGGGAGAAAAGAAAATGAGTCCCAAACTTTGGGCTTACCTCCTCTTCCTGGCTGGCTCACCAAAATATATTAACTGTGATGGGTGTCCAGATTCTTAGTGTTCTTGAACAAGGAATTGGACAAAACACACAAACAAAGCAAGGAAGGAATGAGGGGTTTTATTGAAATGACGGTACACTCCACAGTGCTGGGAGCAGACCAAGCACAGGAGCTCAAAGTCCCAGTTACTGAATTCTGGGGAGTTTAAATATCCCCTAGAGGATTCCATTGGTTACTTGGGGTACACCCTATGTAAATGGAGAGGATGAAGTAAAGTTACAAAGTGATTTGCAGTGTAAGCCCTATTGAGAAGAGGTTTCCTGTTATAGCAGAAGTGTGAATTGGCCTTGTGTTCCCTGCCTCCAGACCCTATTTTCATGCCTCGTAATCTTTATCATTTCCTTCCTTCTGCTTGTTTTAGGTTTACTTTGCTCTTCTTTTTTTAGTTTCTTTAGGAGGTAATATTATTGATTTAAGATCTTTTTTATTTTTTAATAAAGATACAAATTTCCCTCTAAGTACTGCTTTAGCTCCATCCCTTAAGTTTGCGATGTTATTAAACAATTGCTGCTGACTTAAAAAAGAGTTTTGCTATGTTGGGCTTTTATTTTCAATAGTATATTCTAAATATCCTTGTGATTTCTTTAACTTATCTGTTATTTAGTAGTGTTATTTAATTTCTACATATTTATGAATTCCCCATATTTCTTTCTTTTATTGATTTCAAATTTAATTTGATTGTGGTCAGGGAACACATGCTTTGCCTGATTCAAATTCCTTTTAAACTTTTTTCTTTTTTTGGTAAATCCTTTTAAAATTTGTTGAGGCTTTTTTTGTGGCCTAGCATATGGTTTATCCTGGAGAATGCTCCATGTGCACTTTAGAAGACTATATATTTCACTCTTATTGGGTGGAGTGTTTTATATATGTCTCTGAACATATTTATAATAGTTGCTTTGAAATCTTTGTCTGCTAAGTCAACGTCTAGTCCCTTCAAAAGCAGTTTTTATTGCCTGCTTCCCCCATATGAGTCAGTTTTTTCTTTGCTTGTCTTGTAATCTTACATTGTAGTAACCCTAGGTAGTTAATCCCATGCCCCTCTGGGGCTTGTTGTTATTGTTTTTTGTTTGTTTGCTGAGTGACTTGTCTGGACTAGTTCAGTGAAATCTATTCCCCTTCAGCGTGCCGCCTCTGATGTCACTCTTCACAGAGTGTTGCCTTGGGCATGCATGCATGCCCACCAGGACCACCAGGGTTGCTGTGGTTTTAATTGGGCTCTCTTTGACCTTCTCTTTCCCTGATCTCTCCTTTAAGCTTCTGACCCATCTGCCTCCATTGAAGTAGTCCCAGCTGTTAGCCTTCCCTAATTGCTAGCTGATTGCTCGATTGTTTTTTATCAATGCCCTGGCCCACAGATTGCTCTACAGTCGGATCAAATAAAGTTAGACCCCTTAGCAGGGGCAGGGCTTTGACCATGTTGGAGGCTTACTCCGACCTCCCCGAAGGCTCTTTTCTCATCTCTCCTTTCCCTGATTCAGTCTGTTAAATTTCTTTTAGCTGGTGTACTGTTGTTACTAGCATCTCAGCGGGACCATCCTCCTCATAAATGCTTACTCCCAACATCTCCATTGTTTTCAATAGTGCCTTTATGCATGAACTTCCTTATACTCAGTGCCCAATAAGGCCAGTCCCCTTTAGGCAGAGTGGCAGTGCTCTGTTCTTGACCTGCCTTTGCCCCTGGGCCAAACCTCTGTGCCGTTGCACTGCAGCTTGGAGCAGGGGCAGTGGCCCACTTCTACTCAAGTGACCGCCTCGTTCCACAAGTGGGGTGGTGGGCAGGGATAATAGCCCCTGGTCTTCTTGGCTGGACCTTCCTGGCATGACACCTCCTCATGGCTGCACAAGCATGGATGCAGTTGGGGTCTAGCATTTGCAGGCTGCCATACCTACCATAGGGCTGCTGCCCAATGAGTGAGGGAAGTGAACCCCAGTCCTTTCTGTTGTGCTTGCCTGGAATCCAGCTTCTGTAATGCAGAGCTGGGGGGCATGAGGGATGACCATCAGCTTGCTCCTTCTGAGGCAAAACCGTAGCCCTCTGCTGGGAGCTGGGGGAAGGAGGAGACCCGTCTTGGATGCGTCCACTTGAAGTAGAGCATCCTTCACACTGATCCATGAAGGGAGTTAGAGTAGATCACGGCTCACATGCCACAGACTCTCTCTGTTGGTATCAAAATTTAGTAAGTTTTCTTAAATGTTTCTCCACATGCTGTATGCCATTAGGACAATGTCCAGTGGCTTTAACAGTTTTTAATTTTTTTAAGTGATGTTCTGCTAGGTGTGGTGGCTCACGCCTGTAATCCCAGCACTTTAGGAGGCTGAGGTGGGTGGATTGTTTGAGCCCAGGAGTTGGAGACCAGCCTTGGCAACCTGACGAAACACCATCTCTACAAAAAGTACAAAAATAGGGCCAGGCACGGTGGCTCACGCCTGTAATCCCAGCTACTCGGGAGGCTGAGGCAGGAGAATCGCTTGAAGCCAGGAGGCAGACGTTGCAGTGACTTGAGATCGTGTCATTGCACTCCAGCCTGGGCAACAAGAGCGAAAGTCCGTATAAAAAAAAAAAAAAAGCACAAAAATTAGCTGGGCTTGGTGGTGCATGCCTGTAGTCCCAGCTACTCGGGAGGCCAAAGCAGGAGCATGGCTTGAACCCAGGAGGCGGAGGCTGCAGTGAACTGAGATCACACCACTGCACTCCAGCCTGGGCAGCACAGTGGGACTCTGTCTTAAAAAAAAAAGATGTTCACAAGTTAAATAGTTATTTCACTGGAGAGAGGGTCTGCCAAGCCCCTAAGACTGCCGTTCCTGTCATTACGTTTGTCATTTTGAGAACGGTACTGAGTACATCTATAAACAAGGATGTAAAGGCAATAAGCCATGTACTCATCTTTGTGACAGTGTGCATATCCTGGAGCTGCGTGTCTGGAGCCTCTGGCAGCTTCGGGCATGTAGTAAGATCTATAAATATTCCTCCCATTCATTCATCCATTATGTATTGATCACTCCTGAGTACTCTTGCTCATTTATCTTGGTGAAATTTGGCGTTTTTCTAAATTTCCAGTCCTACATTTTAACTGCTTTCCTGTCAGTTTTTACCCCATATGGCAGGGATGAGTTCTTAAGAATAACAGCATGTGTATTATCTCATTAAATCCTCAAAGCAACCTGATGACGTGGGCAATATTATTCCTTTTTCCTAAGAGAGGCCACTGAAGCTCACATAAGTTGAATAACTTGCTAAATGATGGGTCTGGATTTGATTCCAAATTTGTTGGACTCTAAACTTCTCACTGTTAAACTGCTAGGTCATACCATGTTTCCCACTGTAGGAAAAGATGTTACAGAACACTGGGGCTTTTTTTTCGTTTTTTTGTTTGTTTTTTGGAGATGGAGTCTCGTTTGTTGCCCAGGTGGGAGTGCAATAGTGCAATCTTGGCTCACCACAACTTCCACCTCCCAGGTTCAAGCAATTCTTCTGTCTCAGCCTCCAGAGTAGCTGGGATTACAGGCACATGCCACCACGCCCTGCTAATTTTTGTATTTTCAGTAGAGATTCAATTTCACCCTATTGGTCAGGCTGGCCTTGAACTCCTGATCTCCACTCCAGGGTGTGGTGGTGCATGCCTATAGTCAGCCTGCCTCAGCCTCCCAAAGTGCTGGGATTATAGGCATGAGCCACCACGCCTGGCCCAGAACACTGTTTTTCAACTTTTTAGATAAGAATGTTATGACCTCTTAGAAAGGTCTTTTGTAGACTTTTCTTCAGGTTTCCAGTTCTGAAAGAGTTGAAATAAGATTATTGGAAATGGACTAATGCTTAATGATAAAATTGTTCTTCCTGTAGATAGAATCATAACCATAATAAGTAGCTTTCTTTTTCAGATATAAATACTCATACTTACATTTTCATACCTGTGCTCACAAGTACACATAGACACATGCCCACATGATGTCGGTTACATCTGTAGCTGGAAAACGTAATTAACAATTACCAAACAGTGGTGAATTTCTTCCTTCCCTTCAGTAACGGTTAAAGAAATCTCTGTTTCTTGATTTGGCACCCTTATACCTTGATTGCTGAAAATGTTGACTAAAATGTGATTTCTGGTATAAAACATACCTTAATCAATGAGGACAGAGAGAGGCGGGGAGAGGGACAGAGGGAGAAATGGAATTCATCATTGGCTGTGCATCCAAAATATTTAAAAAGCAAGTAAGCATGAGAGGCAAGCAAGTAGGAAAGTATGCCTCCTTAAACCTTGGGATTTGGCATCCAAATCCCAAAGACTGAAGGTTAGAACAAGCTCTTCTAGGATCATGGTGAATAAAGAAAATAATGCTAAAGAAATTGGAGTTGCACAAAAAAAAAATTGTGGCCTCTGGAAGCCTAGATGAGGTAGAGCATTAAGAAGTGGGAGAGAAATAAATAAATATAAATATAAATAAATAAAAGAAAAGAAGTGGGAAAGAGGAGACTGGGGCTCGTTATTCTGCAGTGGAACCTCCCGCTCCCACAACGATAGAGACACAGCAACTTGCAGACCCCACATACATGATTGGAGTTGGCGTTGGGTAAAATGGGCCAGAGCCTCATTTCTGATGTTTAATCATTTCAGTTGTGCCCCTAATTTTCTTTCCTCAGCTCCTGGTACATAGTGGATAAACACACACATAAGTTATGCTACAGCAGAAATTTCCAGATAAAAAGAGAGCTCATAATTACTTTCATTTCTTAATATCTGTGAGCTATTTTGTATAAAGATCATATACTCTTTATTTTGTCTTGTAGTCATGGAAATTCATCATTCTTGGCAGAGTGCTATAGTTTAAATTTTCCCTTATGTTCACTGAAATGTGGGGATATATTTAATCAGAGTTAAGTCACTGTACAGAGATGAATAGTCTTTAAGACAGACTTACAAGGCGAGAGAGGCCAGAGAGGTTTCAAAAATAATTTTAATTATTTATAGCCTGAATGACTCCCTTCTCTTTATTCATTCATTTAACATGTATTTATTGAGCACCTATTATGTATCAGACACTGTTCTAGACTTCTGGGAAATGTCAATGACCAAATAAAGATGTCAATGACCAAATTACCTTGCAGAGCTTACATTTGAGGGGGAGGAGTTAGATGATAAACAATATGATAATAAGTAAATGATATGATAAGTGATAAGTTCTGTGGGAAAAATCAAAACTAGAGCAGAGTTAGGGAGAACAGGAAAACTGGATTTGGGAACAAAATTGCAATTTTTTATTTTTTTGAGACAGGGTCTCACTCCTGTAGACCAGGTGGGAGTGCAGTAGTACAATTATGGCTCATTGCAACCCTGACCCCTGGGCTCAAGTGATTCTCCCACCTCATTTTTTGATTTTTTGTAGAGACGAGGTCTCACTATATTGCCCAGACTGGTGTTGAACTCCTGGGCTCAAGGGATCCTTCCGCCTCTGCCTCCCAAAGTGCTGGGATTATAGGCATGAGCCATGGCGCCCAGCCAAAATTTCAATTTTAAGTAACTCAGTCAGCTGCATTGAGGAGGCTCCCAAGAGGGAAATGACTTGATTGAGGTCTCTTGGCTAGTCAGGGAGCAGTAGAGTAGGATTTGATCCTGAAGTTGAATCGAATGTCCTTGCCTTTTCTGAAGGGATACATGAGAGTGTTAGGCGGTCTCAGGAAGGACTTGACCTACTTTAGTTAGCCCTCATTCAATGAGGCCTAGAGGGTAGACAGGGAGCAGGAGGAAGGCATCTAAAGAAATCTGGCTGGGCACGGTGGCTCATACCTGTAATCCCAGCACTTTGGGAGACCAAGGCGGGTGGATCACGAGGTCAGGAGTTCAAGACCAGCCTGGCCAACATGGTGAAACCCCGACTCTACTAAAAATACAAAAAAATAGCTGGGCGTGGTGGCAGGCCCCAGTAATCCCAGCTACTGTGGAGGCAGAGAATTGCTTGAACCCAGGAGGAAGAGGTTGCAGTGATCCGAGATTGCACCACTGCACTCCAGCCTGTGTGACAGAGTGAGACTCTGTCTCAGAAAAGAAGAAAAGAAAGAAAGAAATCTAAGAAATCGAGGTACTTGGCTGGAAGGTTTGGGCTGAGCATAGCTTATAAAATGACATGGTCTAGCTGGGCATGGTGGCACTTGCCTGTAATCCCAGCTACTCAGGAGGCTAAAGCAGGAGAATTGCTCGAACCCAGGAGGCGTAAGTTGCAGTGAGCTGAGATCGCACCATTGCACTCCAGCCTGGGTGACAATGAACGAAACTCCGTCTCAAAAAATTAATTTATTTAAATAAAATGACATTGTCAAAAGCTGGAAGGGAGGACATATAACTAAGGGAAAATACTAAAGGATAGTGAGTCTATAGTATTGTTTTAGAAGAAAATCATTCGGATACACCTTCCAGAGCTATTAACTCTCCCTCAAAGCACACTTTTGGAGACTGGATTACTTAGAACTGCAGACGTGCACAAGGTACTTCTTGAAGGATTTATTTTAGATTGAGGAGATTTAAAAGGCTGACACACACATAGATTTTTGTTGACCAGGTTATATAAAAGCTGTAATTCAGTAAAACGTTCCCATTTTTTGGTTTGAAAATTTTCAGGAAAGACTGCTGTAAAGAATTAATTAGTTACTTGGTATATTCTCTGTAGTTTTTGGCAAAAAAAAGAAAAAAAAACTAAACAAAAAAAAGAATTAGTCTTTCATGCAGTGATCACCCCAAGGCACCTGCAGTTCAGAGGATAATGTGTAGCTGAGATGAAAGAGATGGTTTCTACTGAGGAATTTGTCTGACCAACAAAGGGGCCTTTATGCACGTTTGTGAGATTTGGAATTAATCTTACAGTACCACTACGATCTAGGTAAACCTAGCCAAGTAAATGATTTCTAGACAGAAAAAAGAAATCCAGAACTCATGGAATACATTCTGAAGGACAAGGTCAGTTCTTAAAAACTGTTACGCCTTATGACTTAGAATCAAATAAAAATGAGTGTTAGATATCTCTTCCTCATTTCTTTGATGATGACTAAGGCCTGAATGTGTTAAGCAATTTGACCAAGGTGACTTGGGTAATTACTTAAAGTGCGAACTCCTTGGCCAGTGCTTATTGTAGTTTAACAGAGTCCCATCATACATACATTGAATTTCTGTAAATTTCAATTATTGCATATGGCAAAAAAGGAGAAAAATACTAGAAAATTTTATTTTCATATAGTTTATCACATATATAAAATATTCATATATCCATATTATCTATATAATATATATAAAATATTCACATATCCATATGATTTTTTTTTTGTTTTCTTTACACATGTCCTTTAAACCAATGCAGTACACATATCCATATGATTGTATAGGGTTGTATACATACAATCATGTACAGTCAACCCTCCGTATCCACGCATTCTGTGTTGTGGATTCAACCAACCACAGACTGAAAATATTTGGAAAAAAAACCCAAGAAAACAATATAACAATACAATATAATATAAATTTTAAAATATGGTATAACAGCTATTTACATAGCACTTGCATTATAGTAGGCATTATAAGTAATTTAGAGGTGATTTAAAGTACACATGCTCTTTGACTTATGGGTTTATCTGGACATGATTCCATCATGTCAAGGAGCTTATTGAATGCTGGTTGCTTTTGCACCATTGTGAAACTGAAAATCAGGGACAGTTTGTAGACAGGAGGATGTGTGTGGGTTATATGCAAATACTATGCCATTTTATACAAGGGACTTAAGCATCCACAGACTTTAGCATCCTGGATGTAGGAGGTGGTCCTGGAACCAGTCCCCCTTGGATACTGAGGGGTGACTGTATACATTAAGTGTAACTTAAGAGGTTTCCTAGGGGTAATTTTGGCTATAAATGATTTGCATCCCATGTAGAAATTGAAAACTTAATCCCCTCCTAATAAAGCACAATACCTTGATTTCCATATTCCGTCCATCATTATATTACAGGTCAAACCATGTCCCTCAAACATGACATCATGTTGTAAGAGCCAGATTTGACTCAGTTTAAAATGCATGTGTGATTTTTGTCATAAACACCAGCAAAGTAAAGGGGTTCCATCATATTTATTCATAGAGTAGGGTTGTGCTAATTTTGAATTCAGTGGGGAGAAAGGAGCCCCCTGGGCTGACCCTTATTTGGGTGATTTTAACTGTCACTTCAATCATCAAAAGCTCTGCAGGTGTCTGATGCGGGGCCTGTGCAAGGTTTCTCTTTTCTCTAGCTCTGACCAGGTGCTTACCATTCCAGGATAGCTCTCCTGCCAGTTCTGCTCTCCTCTCCACCTCACTGCCCTTTTCCTCACTTATTTCTAGCTCCTCTTCCATACCAGTCTTATAAATGGGCATACAATCATGTGCAGCAGTTTCTGGTCCTCTTCTCCGACCTGAGTAGGACCCACTAGAATAACGGCACAACTTCACATGCATGCTTTTTCATGCACTCAAAAGAAACGTGGAAAATATAGACCATTAGAATCAGTCTGTTAGAACTTTGAGATACTTTACAGGTCAGCTGGCCCAAATGCCTGGTTCTAAAGATCTCAAAAGTGAGACCCAGAGAGGATTTTCAAGGTAGTATAACTTTAATGGCAGAGAGAGTTTCTCTCACTACTCTTTTAGCTCTTACAGAAGTTTCAATAAAGAAACATTAAAGCCTGGTGTGGTGGCTCACATCTGTAATGCCAGCACTTTGGGAGGCCCAGGTGGGAGGATCACCTGAGGTCAGGAGTTCGAGACCAGCCTGGCCACCATGTGAAACCCTGTCTCTACCAAAAGTACAAAAAATTAGCTAGATGTTGTGGCACGCTTTTTCTTTTTCTTTTTATTATTTTTGTTATTTATTATTTTTTTTATTGCATTTTAGGTTTTGGGGTACATGCAAGGTTGTTGCATAGGTACACACATGACAGTGTGATGTGCTGCCTTCCTCCCCATCACCTATATCTGGCATTTCTCCCCATACTATCTCTCCCCAACTCTCCACCCCCCACTGTCCCTCCCCTATTTCCCCCCAGCAGACCCCAGTGTGTGATGCTCCCCTCCCTGTGTCCATGTGTTCTCATTGTTCCACACCCACCTATGAGTGAGAACATGCGGTGTTTGATTTTCTGTTCTTGTGTCAGTTTGCTGAGAATGATGATTTCCAGGTTCATCCATGTCCCTACAAAGGACACGAACTCATCATTTTTTATGGGCTGCATAGTATTGCATGGTGTATATGTGCCACATTTTCCCTGTCCAGTCTATCATCGATGGGCATTTGGGTTGCTTCCAGGTCTTTGCTATTGTAAACAGTGCTGCAATGAACATTCGGGTGCATGTGTCCTTATAGTAGAACAATTGATAATCCTTTAGATATATACCCAGTAATGGGATTGCTGGGTCAAATGGAATTTCTATTTCTAGGTCCTTGAGGAATCGCCACACTGTCTTCCACAATGGTTGAACTAATTTACACTCCCACCAACAGTGTAAAAGTGTTCCTATTTCTCCACATCCTCTCCAGCATCTGTTGTCTCCAGGTTTTTTAATGATCGCCATTCTAACTGGCATGAGATGGTATCTCAATGTAGTCTTGATTTGCATTTCTCTGATGACCAGCGATGATGAGCATTTTTTCATATTTGTTGGCCTCATGTATGTCTTCTTTTGTAAAGTGTCTGTTCATGTCCTTTACCCACTTTTGAATGGGCTTGTTTGTTTTTTTTCTTGTAAATCTGTTTTAGTTCTTTGTAGATTCTAGATATCAGCCCTTTGTTGGATGGGTACATTACAAAAAATTTTTCCCATTCTGTTGGTTGCCGATTCACTCTAATGACTGTTTCTTTTGCTGTGCAGAAGCTGTGGAGTTTGATTAGGTCCCATTTGTCTATTTTGGCTTTTGTTGCCAATTGTAGCACGCCTTTTCAATCACAGCTATTTGGGAGGCTGAGGCAGGAAAACCACTTGAACCTGGGAGGGAGAGGTTGCAGTGAGCTGAGATCATGCCACTGCACTCCAGTCTGGGCAACAGAGCGAGACTCTGTCACAAAAAATAAAAGAAGAAACATTACAGATAAATGAGAACCACAAAGAGGAAGCTTCCAATTTTTATGAAAAATATTATTTTGGTTTTTTTTTTTTTGAGATGGTGTCTTGCTCTGTTACCCAGGCTGCAGTGCAGTGGCATGAACATGGCTCACTGCAGCCTCAACATCCTGGGCTCAAGCAGTCCTCTCACCTCAGCCTCCCAAGTAGCTGGGAACACATGTGTGCACCACCACACCTGGCTAATGTTTATTTTTTAATTTTTTGTAGAGATAGGGTTTCGCCATGTTTACCCAGGCTGCTCTTGAACTCCTGGGCTCAAGTAATCCTCGTGACTCAGCTCCGAAAGTGCTGGGATTACAGGCATAAGCCACTGTAATATGGTGGCAGAAAAATGTTCTTAAAAATTTGGATCTTTAGTCCTGGACATCATGTCACCTGCATTTGCCTCTCCGGGGCCCCAAAGGAAATGTTACACTAATACAACACTTGTGGATTTAGAACACATTGTGGAAACTAGTCAGTTGCTAAATGTATTGCTGAAGCTGAGAATGTACTTATCATGGAGGGGGCAAAAGGTGAAGGAGATGCTTTAGGAGACACCCTCAGATGAACAGGTTTCCACATTTGTGTTGGGAAACAGCAAGGGCTTCCTCAGGCTTGTGCTTGAGAGGACAAAAATCTGGCTGAGAGCCACAGCAGGAGCTCTACCTTACCTCTTTGAATATGTTAAGACACTTCTAATGTGTGGTCATTGTGGAGAGTTAATTTCTCCCCTGAATGTGACAGTGAAGTTCTTATTTATTTATTTATTTATTTATTCATTTTGAGATCGAGTCTTGGTTGCCCAGGCTGGAGTACAATAGCGCGATTTCGGCTCACTGCAACCTCTGCCTCCTGGGTTCAAACAATTCTCCTGCCTCAGCCTCCTAAGCAGCAGGGATTGCAGACGTGTGCTACCACGCCTGGCTAATTCTTTGTATTTTTAGTAGAGATGGGGTTTCACCATGTTGGTCAGGCCCGTCTCAAAGTTTTGACCTCGTGGTCTGCCAATCTTTGCCTCCCAAAGTACTGTGATTACAGGCATTAGCCACCGCGCCCAGCATGGCAATTAAGTTCTTTTAAGAGAAAAGAACCTTGTAGCTTCCACAATTGTCAAACAATTGTGATGGAATTTTTAAAGCGGGGGACAAGAGCTGATTCTTGGTTATTGCTATTGCTGTATTGACTGTTCATGGAGGAGATGAGTATGAAACAGTGCTGTTTTTTGTTTTTTGTTTTGTTTTTTTTTTGAGACAGGGTCTCCATCTGTCACCCAGGCTGGAGTGCAGTGGAGTGATCATGGCTCACTGCAGCCTTGACCTCCCAGGCTCAAGCGATGCTCCCAGCTCATCTCCCTACTAGCTGAGACTACAGGCGTGTACCACCATGCCCGCCTAAGTTTTGTATTTTTTGTAGAGATGAAGTCTCACCATGTTGCCCGGGGTGGGGTTGAACTCCTGGCCTCAAGTAATCCTCCCACCCTGGCCTCCCAAAGTGCTGGGATTACAGATGTGAGCCACCATGCCAAGCCTGAAACAATTTTTAAGGAAGAATGAGAAGTACTTTGGGATACCTTGGGTTAATATTTCTGGCAAATAAGTTGGAATCTAGAAAGATATACTCTCATTTGTAAGTTATAGCCAAATCTGGTTTCTTGTTCCAAGGTTATTGATATTCTGTGGAGTGATCCCAGAGGCAAAAAAGGCTGTTTTCCAAATACGGGTCGAGGAGGGGGCTGCTATTTTGGACCAGATGTTACTTCCAAGATTCTTAATAAATTCCAGTTGAAGATGATCATCAGGTCTCATGAATGTAAGCCCGAAGGGTATGAAATCTGTCATGGTGGGAAGGTAAGCTAGAATTGTTGCTGACATTCCAATGGACATCCTTCCCCCAAGCACAGTCTTTCCTTCACAGAGTATGTCTGACCTAGAAGCCCTTGAGAAAATGTCTCCCCTAGCACCAAACAGAAACCAGAGAAGGCGGGGTCCATCTAGGTTGTCTGAAGGGGCCTTACTGTCCCTTGTCCTAAAAGATATTTGGTTCATTTCCCTGATCTTCCATAATCCCAGAAATTCTTTTTTTGAGGCAGAGTCTCGCTCTGTCACCCAGGCTGGAGTGCAGTGGCATGATCTCGGCTCACTGCAACCTCTGCCTCCTGGGTTCACATGACTCTTGTGCCTCAGCCACCCAAATAGCTGGAATTACAGGTATGCGCCACTATGCCCAGCTAATTTTTATAATTTTAGTAGAGACTAGGTTTCACCGTGTTAGCCAGGTTGGTCTTGAACTCCTGACCTCAGGTGATCTGCCCACCTCAGCCTCCCAAAGTGCTGGGATTACAGGCATGAGCCACTGTGCCCGGTCCCAAAAACAGAAATTCTGATACATGGCAGTAAGAAGACACACAGAAAGGCTTGGTTCTTTACTACTTGTAAGGCAGCTGTCCCATACAGTGCGGTTGAGAATGTCCTTTTCCTCACAGAGTGCATAAAAGGCAGCAGTGAATCCAGTTTGCTCTTGCACTTTTTACATGTTCTCTGTGCTGGGCCCAAAACACAAAACACACTTGCCTTCAGCTCCCTGAGTAGGGACCTCCAACAGGTTGCTCACTGTAGTCAGTTTAGCTGCAGCCGCTAAAATGGAATGTGTGGTGTTCCTTCCTGGTGTCTGATAAGGCTAAAAGAGGTGAGGACCAAGGAGTTGGTTTCTTATTTCAAGTTTTTCTGGGATGCACTCTTTTCTTTTTCTTTTTTTTCCTTTTTTTTTTGTTTGATATGGGAATCTCACTCTGTCGTCCAGGCTAGAGTGCAATGATGTGATCTCGGCTCACTGCAACCTCCGCCTCCCACATTCAAGTGATTCTCATGCCTCATGCTCCCAAGTAGCTGGGATTGCAGGTGCCTGACACCACGTCCAGCTAATTTTTGTATTTTTGGTAGGGACAAGGTTTCATCATGTTGGCCAGGGTGGTCTCAAACTCCTGAGCTCAGGTGATCTGTCTCAGCCTCCCAAAGTGCTGGGATTACAGGTGTGAGCCACAACACCCGGCCTGGGATGTACCTTTTTCTATAGTGAACAGCAATAAAGAAAAATGGATACCAAGTTATGTGGCATTTCCTGCTGTGTCAGCACTTTGCTTTTCTGAACTCTATTAATTCATTTTCAGCTCATACTAACATTGCAAGATGAGTAAGGCAAGTATCATTTAGCGTTTCTTTGTAATAAGAAAATAGAAAACAGCAGTGGCTTGTCTGAAGTGACATTCTCATTGGGATAGAACGGGGCCTAAGCCAGGTTCCCCATAACCCACAAATATTGTCCTCCCATATTCTACCATAGCCCCAAGGCTGGTTCCTTCACAAGATAGTGGTTATGGTCCCTTATTCTAATCACTGCACCTCTGCCCTTAAAGCACTGACTTTCTGGGGCCCTGAACCCTCTAAATCACTCAGCTCCAACCAGAAGAAAAAAACTGATACTAGACAAATTTTGTTCTGAATACTCAAGTATTACAAGGCAAGAAGATAGGGGATTTATCCCTTGGAAAAAGAATTTGCAAAATCAGGCCGGGTGCAGTGGCTCACACCTGTAATCCTAGCACTTTGGGAGACTGAGGCAGGCAGATCACAAGGTCAGGAGTTTGAAACCAGTCTGATCAACATGGTGAAACCCTGTCTCTACTGAAAATACAAAAATTAGCCGGGCATGGTAGGGCACGCCTGTAATCCCAGCTACTCAGGAGGCTGAGGCAAGAGAATCGCTTGATCCCAGGAGGCGGAGATTGCAATGAGCTGAGATCGCACCACTGCACTCCAGCCTGTGTGACAGAGCGAGACTGCGTCTCAAAAAAAAAAGCAAACTCAGACATTAAAGAGGATTCTGAGATTTGGCACTAAAATTGTACACAGGATTACAGGGCATGCACTGAGGGTGTTGGTTGAGTGGCCAGGCATCAGTGCTCCTGGGGACACAGTAGTAGCCTTGCTTTCCTCCGATTCAGTCACAGGAAATCACATCAGACGTGGATGATTTGCAGAGATTATGAACTTTCTTTGATGTTTACTTTTTAAGAATTGAGCTATTTCTGACTTTTTTGAATGACCTTTTGAGAATTAATTTTGCATGAACCTGACCCTCTTTTTCTTTAACCAGGTTGTGACTATATTTTCTGCTTCTAATTATTACGAAGAAGACAGCAATCGAGGAGCTTACGTCAAACTATGTTCTGGTACAAATCCTCGATTTTTCCAGTACCAAGTAACTGATGCAACGTGCTTTCAACCTCTTCACCAAAGGTGGGTATACTCTACAGAGAATACCGAGCACTGGTATCATGGACCCATTAGAACCAGTCCCAAATCACTAAGAGCAGCCACATGAGTGAAGACAGCCATTTATAGGTTGCTCATTAGTATCAACAAAATGGAAATTGTTTCAGACACCAAGGGGTGAATGCACTCATATTTGAAACAAAAAGGAGCAATTTTAAATTCATACATCCTTTTTTTTTTCTGAGACTGAGTCTCACTGTCGCCACGCTGGAGTGCAGTGGCGCGATCTCGGCTCACTGCAACGTCCCGTCTCCTGGGTTCAAGTGATTCTCCTGTGTCAACCTCCTGAGTAGCTGGGACTACAGGCAGGTGCCACCACACTAGCTAATTTTTTGTATTTTTAGTAAAGATCGAGTTTCACCATGTTAGCCAGCATGGTCTCGATCTTCTGACCTTGTGATCCGCCTGCCTCGGCCTCCCAAAGTGCTGGGATTACAGGCATGATCCACCGCACCCAGCCCATACATCTTTTTAGATAGATAAGGCAGTTAGTCCCCAGAAACATAACTGAATGCAAAGAAAAGAAGATTCCCACACCCACTCAGTCCCCTAACCTACAACCTTCTCTTACCCACAAAGAGCCCTGTCTGGTTTTGCCCCAGAAGTATGTGACTCTAATAGTGTCTCTCTCCATGTGATGGCATTCATAGCTTATCTTCCTATCTTCCGTTTCTCCTTTTAACATTATCTTTTTAAGATTTTTTTTTTTGAGACAGAGTCTCACTCTGTGGCCCAGGCTAGAGTGCAGTAGCGTGATGTTGGCTCACTGCAACTTCCTCCTCCCCAGTTCAAGCAATTCTTCTGTCTCAGCCTCCCCAGTGGCTGGGATTACAGAAGTGTGCCACCACGCCCAGCTGATTTTGGTATTTTTAGTAGAGACAGGGTTTCACCATGTTGGCCAGGCTGGTATTGAACTCCTGACCCCATGTGATCAGCCCGCCTCAGCCTCCCAAAGTGCTGGGATTACAGGTGTGAGCCACTGCGCCTGGCCTAAGATTTTTTACATTATAAAACTAACGTGTTAGTTAACAACTGGAAAAAAAAAAAAAAAAGCAAAGAAGAATAAAGAAAACATTAATGATCTCCTCTCCCTTCTCAATTATCCTTTTCCCCAGAGGTAATTAAAACTAGCAGCTAACTAGTTTTAATTACTAGACTAAAACTAGACCTAACTCATTCATTAGAATTGTCCCTTCCATCCTCTTATTGCTCCTACAAAAATAGACAAGCAATTATTCAGTCATTGAATTTAAAAAACCTTTGAGTACTACCATGTGTCAGGTACTGTTCTAGGCATATATAATACAAGATAGGCCAAAGTCCCCTCATTGAACACATATCTCAGAGTGAAGAGAAAGATGATAAACAATGTATATACTTTTTTGTTTTTTGAGAAGGAGTCTTCCTCTGTCACCCAGGCTGGAGTGCAATGGCATGATCTTGGCTCACTGCAACCTCTGCCTCCTGGGTTCAATCCTCCTGGATTCTCCTCCCTCAGCCTCTCGAGTAGCTGGGACTATAGGAGTGTGCCACTATGCTCGGCTAATTTTTGTATTTTTAGTAGAGATGGAGTTTCCCCTTGTTGGCCAGGCTGATCTTGAACTCTTGACCTCAGGTGATTTGCCCACCTCAGCCTCTCAAAGTGCTGAGATTACAGGTGTGAGCCACTGCGCCCAGCCTGTACATATACATTTTTTTAAAAGAAAGATAGAATCACACTGCACACTGTATTCTGCACCTGAATTTTCCCCTAAAAATTATATCATGAACATCACCCCAAGTTAGTAAAGATAGACCTAACTCATTCTTTTTAGTACATGCATAATATTCTGTAGTATACATGTACCATAACAATTATGGAGCAACTAAATCTTGTCCAGTTGCTAGACATCCAGATTGGTTCCAGGGTTCTGCATTTAAAAACAAGGCTATAACTAGCATTCCTACATATAAGGAACGCATACAACTTAACAGCAAAAAAAACAAATAATCCAATTTTTAAAATGGGCAAAGAACCTGAATAGACATTTTCCCAAAAAAGACATACAAATGGCCAACAGGTTTATGAAAAGGTGCTCAGTGTCACTCATCATCAGGGAAATGCAAATCAAAACCACAATGAGATACCATCTCACACCGGTTAGAATGGCTGTTAAGAAAAAGGTAAGTGTTGGCCAGAGTGCGGAGAAAGGGAACGCTTGTACTCTCTTGCTAGGAATGTGGATTATTACAGCCATTATAGAAAACAGTACAGAGATTCCTCAAAAAGTTAAAAATAGAAGTACCACATGGTCCAGCAATCCCACTACTGGGATTATGTATGCAAAGGAAATGAAATCAGTATCTCGAAGAGATATTTGCACTCCCATGCTCAGTGTGGCATTATTCATGATAGTCAAGATATGGTAACAACCCAAGTGTCTAGCAAGACAGAGAAAGAAAATGTGACTGATGTAGGTGAGTGGATTTATATATTATATTTACACTATATATATTGTATATATCACATCTGCCTATCTATCTATCTATCTATCTATCATCTATCTATCTAATCATTCCTTGATATTTGTAGGGAATTGGTTCCAGAAGCCCTCTCGGATACCAAAATCCCTACAGGCTCAAGTCCTTTATATAAAAATAGCATAAAGCCTATGCGGATCCTTCCATATACTTTAAATCATCTCTACATTACTTATAACACTGAATGCAATGTAAATACTCTGTCAATAGTTGTTATACTGTATTGTTTAGGGAATAATGACAAGAAAAAGTCTGTACGTGTTAAGTATAGGCACAACCATCTGTTTAAAAAATAAAATTGGCCAAGCACAGTGGCTCATGCTTGTAGTCCCAGCACTTTGGGAGGCCGAGGCAGGAGGATCACCTGAGCCCAGGAGTTCAAGACTACCTGGGCAACATGGTAAGAACCCGTCTCTACAAAAAAATACAAAAATTAGCTGGACGTGGTGGTGCACTCCTGTAATCCCAGCTACTCTGGAGGCTGAGGCAGGAGAACCGCTTGAGCCTGGGTGGTCAAGGTTGCAGTGAGCCAAGATCATGCCACCGTACTCCAGGCTGGGCAACAGAGTGAGATCCTGTCTCAAAAAAAAAAAAAAAATCCATGGATGAGAAACCCACAGATACAGAGGACTGATGGTACATGCACAATGGAATATTATTCCAACATAAAAAAGAAATCCTGACATTTATGACAACATGGGTGAACCTGGAAGGCATTTTGCTAAGTGAAATAAGTCAGACAAATACTGTATGACATCACTTATATATGGAATCTAAAAAAGTTGAACTCATAGAAACAGAGAGTAGTATGTGGTTGCCAGAGGCTGAGAGGTGGAGGATAGCTGGAGACGTTGGTCAAAGAGCACAAACTTTCAGTTATAAGATGAATAAGTTCTGGGGATCTAACATACTGCATGGAGACCATAGCTAATAGGAATGTACTGTATACCTGAGGGGTCGGGGGAGAAGAGAACAAAAATAAAAACAAAAAAACAAATGGATCAGGTGCAGTGGCTCACGCCTGTAATCCCAGCACTTTGGGAGGCCAAGGCGGGCGGATCACGAGGTCAAGAGATCAAGACCATCCTGGCCAACATGGTGAAACCCCATCTCTACTAAAAACAGATTAGCCCGGCGTTGTGGCGCACACCTATAGTCCCAGCTACTTGGGAGGCTGAGGCAGGAGAATCACTTGAACCCAGGAGGTGAAGGTTGCAGTGAGTCGAGATCGTGCCATTGTACTCCAACCTGGCAACAGAGTGAGACTCTGTCTCAAAAAAACAAAAATAAAAACAAATGAACAAAAAAAGAATGTATTGTACACCTAAAATTTGCTAGGAGAGTAGATCTCAAATGTTCTCACTATACGTACACGTTAACTATGTTAGGTGACAGATGTATTAACTGACTCGATTGTGGTAATCATTCCATAATATATATTTCTGTATATCAAATCATCACATTGTATACCTTAAATATATATAATTTTATTTGCCAGTTATAAATGTGTTATAGTTTTATGTCAATAAAGCTGAAAGAAATTCCTCTCTGTGTGTACGTATATCCATAAGTTTTAGTGACTTTTTAAATATAAGATTTTAAAATGTAGAATTTATGAAATTTATATGTTTAAAATCTTAATAGCTACTTCAAAAAGGTTATAACAGTGGGCAATCTGAAAATAACATACCATATTTATTTATAATTTTATTATAATTTTTGGAGTTTTACCTTTGTTTAGAAAATTTCTCTGTCTCTGTCTCTCACACACACATACCTCAAATTCTGAAATTTAACAGCTACATTGAGATGTAATTTACATATCACAAAGTTTACTCATTTACAATTCAATGACAGTATATTTACAGAGTTGTGCAGCTATCACCATTATTTAACTTTTGAACATTTTTCCCATCCCAAAAAGAAAACTTATAGCCATTGAATAGTCATTTCCCAGTCACCTCCTCCCATCACAGCCCTAGGCAACCACTAATCTATTTTCTGTCTCTGTGGATTTGCCTATTCTTGGCATTTCATATAAATGAGATCACACAACATGTGGTCTTTTATGGCTGGCTTCTTTCACTCAGCATAATGTTTTTGAGGTTATTCATGCTGTATTCTATATCAGTACTTCATTCCTTTTTTATGGGTGAATAATATTCCATTTTATGGATAGACCACATTTTGTTTATTCTTGAGTTGAAAGACATTTAGGGTGTTTTCACTTTTTGGCTATTATAAACAACGGTGTTATGAACATTCATAGGCAAGTTTTTGTGTGTACATGTTTCAGTTCTCTTGAGTAAATACTTGATCATGGAATTGCTGGGTTATATGGTAACTCTGTGTTTAACATTTTGAGGAACTTGTAAACTTTTTTCCCAAGGGGCTGAATAATTTACCATTTTCAGCATCAGTGTGTGAGGATTCCAAGTGTTCTACATCATTGCCGGCCCTTGTGATGATCTCTCTCTCTCTCTCTTTTTTTTTTTGAGACAGAGTTTCACTCTTGTTGCCAGGTTGGAGTGTAGTGGCGTAATCTTGGCTCACTGCAACCTCCACCTCCCAGGTTCAAGAGATTCTCCTGCCTCAGCCTCCTGAGTAGCTAAGATTACAGGTGTCCACCACCACGCCCAGCTAATTTTTGCATTTTTAGTACAGATGGGGTTTCACCATGTTGGCCAGGCTGGTCTCAAACTCCTGACCTCAGGTGATCCACCCACTTTGGCCTCCCAGAGTACTGGGATTACAGGCATGAGCTACTGCGCCCAGCCAAGCTAATTTTTGTGCATTGTGTGATGGAAGGGTTCGGCTTTATTATTTTACATGTGGATATCCAGTTGTCCCAGAACCATGACTTGAAGACTATTCTTTCCCTCTTGGCACTATTGTCAAAAATCTGTTGACCATAATGTACAGGTTTGTTTCTGGCCTTTAAATTGTATGATATTTGTCTATGTCTATGTCTATCCTATTGTGAGTACCACACTGTCCTAATTATTGTAACTTTACAAACTTACTACAGTTTTAAAACTGGTAAATGTGAGTTAAACTTTGTACTTTTTTTTTTTTTTTTTTTGAGATGGAATTTCACTCTTGTTACCCAGACTGGAGTGCAATGGTGCAATCTCGGCTCACTGCAACCTCCGCCTCCTGGGTTCAAGCAATTCTCCTGGTGTCCCCTCTTTCACTCTTGATTTTAGAAATTTAAGTCTTTTTTCTTTTTTTCTTGGACATTATTAAGGTTTGACAATTTTGTTGATTTTTCAAAGAACCAATTTTTATTTTGTTGATTTTTCTTTATTATCTTTCCGTTCTCTATTTCATTTCTTAACTGCTCTTTTCTTTATTATTTCCTTTTATCTGCTTATGTTGGGTTCAGCTTACTCTTTTTTCCAATTTTTTATTTTATTATTATTATTTTTATTTTTGAGATGGAGTTTTGCTCTTGTTGTCCAGGCCGGAGTGCAATGGCACGATCTCGGCTCACTGCAACCTCTGCCTCTTGGGTTCAAGCGATTCTCCTGCTTCAGCCTCCCGAGTAGCTGGGATTACATGCCCAGCTAATTTTGTATTTTTAGTAGAGATGGGGTTTCACCATGTTGGTCAGGCTGGCCTCAAGTGATCCACCCAGCTCGGTCTCCCAGAGATTACAGGCGTGAGCCACCGTATCCAGCCTTTTTCTACTTTTTTTAAAGTGGAAGATTATGTTATTGATTAGAGATCTTTTTTCTTTTTTAATATAGGCATCTACAGCTATACATTTTCCTCTAAGCACTACTTTAGTGTATGCCATATGTTTTGGTATGTCGTATTTTCATTTTCACTCATCTTAAAGTATTTTCTGATTTCTCCTCTGATTTCTTCTTTGACCTATTGGTTAAGATTTTGCTGTTTAATTTCCTTATATTTGTGACTTGCTCAAATTTCTTTCTGTTGTTAATTTTTAATTTATTTCTTTTTTTTTTTTTTTTTTTTTTTTTTTAAAAGGGGTTTTCACTTTTTTTACCCAGGTTGGGGGCAATTGGGGGGTTTCCGGCCCACCGCACCCCCCCCCCCTTGGGTTCAGGCAATTCTCCTGCCTCAGCCTCCTGAGTCGCTGGGATTACAGGCACGTGCCACCATGCCCAGCTAATTTTTTGTAGTTTTAGTAGAGACGGGGTTTCACCGTGTTGACCAGGATGGTCTCGATCTCTCGACCTCGTGATCCACCCGCCTCGGCCTCCCAAAGTGCTGGGATTACAGGCTTGAGCCACCGCGCCCGGCCAAATTTTAATTTATTTCTTTCCCAAATTACTTTCTGTTATTAATATACTTCTTTCAATAAATTCCTATTTTTTTCAAAGTAAAGATACTTTGATCTTAATCCTTTTAAACCTATTAAGGCTTATATTATGGCCTAGCATAAAGTCTACTGTGGAGAATGTTTCACATATACTATAGAAGAATATAATTCTCAGGCCAGGCACAGTGGCTCACACCTGTAATCCCAGCATTTTGTGAGCCCAAGTCAGGAGGATCACAAGATCAGGAGTTCAAGACCAGCCTGGCCAATATAATGAAACCCTATCTCTACTAAAAATACAAAAATTAGCTGGGCATGATGGTGCATGCTTATAGTCCCAGCTACTCAGGAGGCTGAGGCAGGAGAATCGCTTGAACCCGGGAGGCGGAGGTTGCAGGGAGACAAGATAGTGCTACTGCACTCCAGCCTGGGTGACAGAGTGAAGACTTCATCTCAAAAAAAAAAAAAATGTAATTCTCTTGTTGTTGGGTAGAATGTTTTAAATACATCTGTGAGGTCTAGTTAATTTGAGTGCTGTTCAAGTCTTCTAAGTCCGTGTTGATTTTCTACCTAGTTGTTTCATCCATTACTGAAAGTCGACTATCGAAGCCTCTATATTATTGTTGAATTGTCTGTGTCTCCCTTCAGTTCTGTCCATTTTTGCTTCATGTAGTTTTGGGCTCTGTTTTTAGGTTCTCGTGTGTTTATAATTATTTTATCTTCTTTTTTTTTTTTTTTTTTTTTTTTTTTTTTTTGAGATGGAGTTTCGCTCTTGTTGCCCAGGCTGGAGGGCAATGGCATGATCTCGGCTCACCACAACCTCCACCTTCCAGGTTCAAGAGATTTTCCTGCCTCACCATGTCCGACTAATTTTGTATTTTTAGTAGAGACGAGGTTTCTCCATGCTGGTCATGTTGGTCTCGAACTCCCAACCTCAGGTGATCCACCTGCCTTGGCCTCCCAAAGTGCTGGGATTACAGGCATGAGCCACCAAGTCCGACTGTTTTATCTTCTTGATGGACTGTTTTATCATTATAAGATATCCCTCCTTGTCTCTGGTAACAATTTTTGTCTTTTTTTTTTTTTTTTTTTTTTTGATATGGAGTTTCACTCTTGTTGCCCAGGCTGGAGGCTGGAGTGCAATGGCACAATCTCGGCTCACTGCAACCTCTGCCTCCCGGGTTCAAGCGATTCTCCTGCCTCAGCCTCCCAAGTAGCTGGGATTACAGGTATGTGCTACCACGCCTGGCTAATTTTGTATTTTTGGTAGAGACAGGGTTTTTCCATGTTGGTCAGGCTGGTGTTGAACTCCTGACCTCAGGTGATCTGCCCGCCTCAGCCTCCCAAAGTGCTGGGGTTACAGGTGTGAGCCACCACGCCTGGCAACAATTTTTGTCTTAAAGTCCATTTTGTCGCTATTGGTATGGCCGCTCCAAGTTGTCATGCTTGCTGTTTGCATGGTATTTTTTTTGCATCCTTTTCCTTTTAAACTCTTTGTATCTTTAAAACTGAAGTGTTCTCCTGTAGACAACGTATAGTTGGATCTTGTTTTGTTGTTTTTATGCAGTTTCACAATCTCTGCCTCTTAATTTGATTATTTAATCCATTCTCATATGATTTTATTACTGATATGCTTGAATTTACTACATCTACCATTTTGCCATATGTGTGTGTGTGTTTGTGTGTGTGTACACAAAAAAAATAAAAAGAGGAACAAAATAGTCATTATGTATGTGTGTGTATGATTACTTTGTTCCTCTGTTCCTCCTTTATTTGAAAATTTATTTTTGTAAATGATCTGAGGTGGAGGTTGAAGTCCAGGTTGTTAGCTAACTATGCTAGCGCTCTTTTTAAAAACTGTCATTTTCTACTGAATTGCAATACCTCTGTATTATATATGTTATTCTCATACATAGTTTGATATATTTATGAAATTTCTATTATGTTCTATTCATGTATCAGTCTTCTCTTGTCAATATCTGTTGTTTTATCTCAGTAATTTAATGATACATTTAAATATCTGGTATAGTAAGTTCTTCTTTATTTTCCTTCTTTTCAAATGATTGTTCATGTGAATTTTTGGCATTCAAAAGAAAATACTATTTGTAATCCTTTTAAAACTTCACAAAATGCATGTGTGCATGCACACATACATATACATTCACATATAGATACATATGCATATGTTTACCATCTAGTAGTGATATGTGTGAATCTAGGCAACTCATTTAAAGTAAAAATTCATAAATAGTAATGTGCACATTAAAATGAAACAAAACAGGATGATTTATGTTACTTTCACCTAATTATTTTTTTCTTTACATAGAGTGAGTACTATGGAAAACAGTGCCATCAAGATATTAAGAGAGAGAATGATTTCACGAAAAACTGACCTCATTCATGCTTTCCAACATCAAGACCGCAGAAAATCAGGTAATAAAATTGTGTAACACTTACCGTTTCTTAACACACCAAGTTACATACAGATCACTTTTCATTTTCTTTGCTTCCTTAGGATGTCAGTTCTCCATTTTTACTAAGAAGGAAGAATAGAGATAAAAAATATATAATCCATTATTTGTGCAAAAAAAGGCACATTTATTCCTTTTAGCAAGCTATTTTCAATTTGGAAAACTAACACCAACCCTGAATTAAACTTCTATTCTGATAGTATGCTAGACTAGACATTCTGGGGGGCTTTCCTATTAACAGACAGCTAGATCCTGGAGGATGCAGAATTTAATGCATTTACCAGCCTCATAGTAAGGTGACTCTTCCAGCTGCATCTTCACTCTCCATGAAAGATGATTTGAAACCACATGTGTGAGCATGGAGCAACAAGAAAACACAAAAGGCTAGATTGTCCTGGGGCCCAATGCTGATATTGGTATAGCAATCAATCCTGAGACTAAATTATAATATAGTAGAAAGATGGAAAAGCTGCATTTGAGACCTCCATTATCATGCTTGCACCCTCAAAGTGGCTAAAGTTGTCCTAGGTCTGTAATGCTCCCTGGCTCCTGGCAAGCAAATGCAAATTTATCTTTGAGGGAAGCATCCCCAGTTTTGGCCACTTGTATATCCAGAGATTAAGATCAACTCACATGAGCTCACAATAAAAAATTACCAAACAAGGACACAAACTACCGTGAGTGAAAGTCAGCAGAAACAACAGTTAGTTCCCTGAGGACATCAGATATTAGAATTATCAAATAAAAAATATGTTCATAGGAACTATGAAATCATAAACATGCATTTGGGAATGATTTGAAGAAGAAAGAAAAAAAAAGAGATATGAACAGTAAAACAAGAAGTTTACATACACCTACTCAGGGTACTGGGAGGAGAGAATAGAATGTAAGAGACCATATATTTGACATGGTAATGGCTGAGACATTTCCAGAATTGATAAAAGACTCAAATTCATAGAGAGGAACAGTGATTCACAAGTAGAATAAATAAAGTTAAATCCACACCTACACACATTTGTGGTGAAACTCCAGAGCACCAGTGGCAAAGAAAAACATCGTTGAAAAGCAGGCAGAGAGGAAACACATATTGCTACAAAGAGATAACAATTAGACTGATAGATTTCTCAACAGTTGCAAAATTAGACTGTAGAATCATATACACAAAACATTAGAAGTTAAATTTAGAAAAAGATATGCCATGAAAACACTAACAAAAATAAAGCTAAGATAGATTTATTAGTGTCAGGCGAAGTAGACTCTAAGGAAGTATATATTACTAGAAATGAAAAAGAACATTTTGTAATGATAAAATATTAATTATGCCAATTGAATCCATTCTAAATGTGTATGTACCTATTAATATAGCTTCAAAAATATTCAAAACAAGAACTGACAGAAGAAAAAATAGAAGTAAAAACATCTACCACCATAGTGGGAGGTTTTAATACTCCTCTCTCAGGAACGAAAAAAACCAGCTAAAAGATTAGCATACTTTTTTCTTAAAAGATGACATAGAACTCAGCACCCAACATTTCAGAATGCATATTCTTATCAAGCACAAATGGATCATTTACAAAAAGTGACCAAACACTGGAACATACAGTGAATCTCAATGGGTTTTGAAGTACGGGAAACATTACAAAATAAATGATCTGACATAGTGACTTGAGCTACAACTCAATAATATAAGATAGTCATAAAATTGCCTTTTGGTTTGGAAATGAGAAGTAAACATAAATAATCCTTGGCTCAAAGAGAATCACAGTGAAAATTAGAATGCTGAAACTAAATGACAATGAAAATGCAACTTATTAGAATTTACGGGATGCAAATTAGAAAGGCACTGATGATAACCTTAAATGTAAAAGATGAAGTTATAATTAACAAAGTTTAAAAAAGTGTTTTTTGTTGTTGTTTTGTTGTTTTTGAGATGGAGTCTCCCTCTGTCACCTAGGCTGGAGTGTAGTGGTGCAGTCTTGGCTCACTGCAACCTCTGCCTCCTGGGTTCAACCGCTTCTCCTGCCTCAGCCTCCCCGAGTAGCTTGGACTACAGGTACACACCACCATACCCAGCTAATTTTTTTTGTATTTTTAGTAGAGATTAGATTTCACCATGTTGGCCAGGCTGATCTCAAACTCTTGACCTCAGGTTATCTGCCTGCCTTGGCCTCCCAAAGTGCTGGGGTTACAGGTGTGAGCCACTGCGCCTAGCCAAAAAATGGTTCTTTGATAAAACTGTTGAAGTTGATGAAACCATGGTGAGACAGAGAGAAAGAGAAAACAAATAACCAATGCAATTGTAGGGAGGAGCTTCTGTCTAAGGTTGAGAGAGAGGAGCCATGGAAGGAACAAACTTGGAAGAAATCCCTAATCCCAATAAGAGATGAGATCACGCCCTCATTGGTGAGGATGTGGCTGTGGTCCGCTGGGGAGGGCAGAAGTTCACTGAGGTGCCTCAAGTTAGAGTTGAGTCTCTAGCTAGTGGGCCAGGACTGGAGAGGACAGAGCCACCCACTGGGGTGCCAGCAACACCTTAGGCTGTGCTACACTGCGTCACCTACACACTGATGACACGTGCTGTGGTATCAGGGAAATTTGCTAGAAGGTGGGTGCCACTGCATTTCCCACACACCTCTGGTAACCATGCTGTGCTATAGAAACAAAAAGCAGGGTACACCAGAACCAGAAAGAAAAGCCTTTTCTTTGCTGTTCTTTGCAGTATTCTTCCTGCACTGTCTACTAACAAAGCCTAACGTTATAGGAGCTGCCAAAGAAGCAATGATTACAGGGTCCAGTTCTAGTATCACAAAATGTGGCAAGAAAAAAATAAGAAGAAGAATAATTTTGGAGCTAAATGGGAATAAATTGATAGCTGGGGTAGTCAGCAGTTAGCTTTTAGATAAGAAAAATCTTAAAAGATACCATTCACAATAGATAATCAAGTACTCAGGAGAAACCTAATGAATGAGGTATGAGAGCTCTAAGATATTATTAAGATAAATCAAAGGGGACTGAAATAAGTGGGTAGGTATTACTGTGTTCGAGGACTAGAAGGGTTGAAGTTGTCAAGATACAAATTCCTCCCAAATTGAGCTATAGGTTGAATGCAATCTCAGTCAAAATCCCAAAGTGGGGATTTTTCGGTAGATCTTGAGAATCTGCATCTAAAACTCATGTGGAATTACCAAAGGCCCAAAATAGCCAAGATGTTCTTGAAAAAAAAGAATAAGGTGGGAAGACTTTCTTTATTATAGATCAAGATCTGTTATAAAAGTACAGTAATTAGAATGGTATGGAATCAGCACACAGATACCCATATAGACAATGGAAGCAAATAGAGAATCCTGAAACAGATTCATGCAGTTATAGACACTCGAAGGCACTACTGCTGAGCAGTGGGCAAAGGAGTCTTCAATAAACGATTCTGGGCCAAATGGATATTCATCTAAAAATAGAAACAGCCTACATGTAATAAAGATATTTGTGTTTGGAAAAATTACATATATTAGGAGGAAAAGAATATTAGTTGTGAAATGACAGGTAAATAATACATCTTTTATTCTTTGTATTCTTTTCTGTTTTCAAATCTTCTATAATAAGCATACCTAGGCCAGGCACAGTGGCTCACACCTGTAATCCCAGCACTTTGGGAGCCGAGGCGGGCGGATCACTTGAGGTCAGGAGTTCAAGACCAGCCTGGCCAACATGGTGAAACCCCATCTCTACTAAAAATACAAAAAAAAAAAAGCCGGGTATGGTAGCGTGCACGTGTAACCCCACGTACTTGGAGGCTGAGGCAGGAGAATCGCTTGAACCCAGGAAGTGGACATTGCAGTGAGCCAAGATGGCACCACTGCACCCCAGCCTGGGCAACAAGAGCCAGACTCCTCCAAAAAAATAAATAAATAGGCATACCTTACTTTGTTAATCAGAAAAATGAAAAACAAATAATCTAACACCCAAAGTCTGATTTCTTACAGGTGACAGGAAGGACATGATCTGTGGAATACTAAAGATATTCTTGAGTTATTTCTCCTTCAGGACTACAGGGCCTGGAAGCGTAAATTATGACAGAGAGCAGCTGGCCCCATGCTGCCCTGGCTCTCCCAAGGAGGTTGCATTCTTTAAAATCATATCATAAACAAATCATTTGGGCTTTGTTGTTGTTGTTGTTGTTAGGAAAACTTCCTGTGAGCCAGTGGGCTTTTTGCATGGAGAGCATTTTGGGACTGAACTTACCGTGGAGATCCCTGAGTTCGAATCTGGTAATCATAGACCAAAATGGAAACGTTGAATACATGTCCAGCTTCCGGAATATCCACATTGAAAAACCTATAAAAGAGGCAAGTGAAACATAGCCCCAGCTAAAACCTGGCCAGGGCGAAACATAAGTTAGTCCTTTGAAAAGCTGGGAGTGGCCAGGTACAGTGGCTCATGCCTGTAATCCCAGCACTTTGGGAGGCCGATGCAGGCAGATCATGAGGTCAGGAGCTTGAGACCAGCCTGACCAACAAGGTGAAACCCCATGTCTGTCTACTAAAAATACAAAAATCAGCGAGGCATGGTGGCACATGCCTGTAATCCCAGCTACTTAGGAGGCTGAGGCAAGAGAATCCTTTTAACCCGGGAGGCAGAGGTTGCAGTGAGCCGAGATGGTGCCACTGCCTGGGCAATAGAACGAGACTCCCTCTCAAAACAAAAAAAAAAAGAAGAAAGGAAAAGAAAAAAAAGAAAAGCTGGGAGTGGAATAATCTAATAGATGGAGTTACAGTCTTAGGAAAGGCTGAAGGGGAATCTCCCAGGTACACTGTGGTCTGTTCAGCAAATTTCTGTGTTCCTAGGATAAGAAAAAAGAAAAAAAAAAAAAAAAAAGAAAAGGAAAACCTTCAACAAACAAGTCCACATCAAATACTGGATTTTTGTTTTTTTAAGACAGAGTCTCACTCTGTCATTCAGGCTGGAGTGCAGTGGTGCGATCTTGGCTCACTGCAACCTCTGACTGCCAGGTTCAAAGGATTCTCCTGCCTCAGCCTCCCGAGTGGCTGGGACTACAGCTGCATGCCACCACACCCGGCTAATGTTTTGTATTTTTAGTAGAGATGGTGTTTCACCATGTTAGCCAGGATGGTCTTGATCTCCTGACCTTGTGATCTGCCCACCTCGGCCTCCCAAAGTGCTGGGACTACAGGTATGAGCCACTGCACCTGGCTTGGATTTTTAAGTGCTGTCTAGCAGAAGGGTAGATCTGACATCTATGCTTTTTGTTTGTTTGTTTTTTGAAGCAGAGTCTTGCTCTGTTGCCCAGGCTGGAGTGCAGTGGTACAATCTCAGTTCACTGCAACTTCTCCCTCCCAGGCTTAAGCGACTCTCCTGCCTCAGCCTCCTGAGTAACTGAGATTACAGGTGCCTGCCACCATACTCAGCTAATTTTTTATTTTTAGTGGAGATGGGGTTTCACTGTGTTGTCCAGGCTGGTCTTGAACTCTTAACCTCAAGTGATCTGCCTGCCTCGGCCTCCCAAAGTGCTGGGATTACAGGCATGATCCCCTGCGCCTGGTCTGACATCCATGCTTTTATACAACATACCATTTAGAATATTTAAGAATATTTAACCCTTGTTAAATTTGAGTGTACAGACTTGCTGACATGACCCAGAATATGTCTGAAAGATTTTTGAAATGTAGAATCTCTTGTTAGAATGTGAATATCAGGGAGATTTATCGGATCCCTGTACTTATTACTTAACAATTCATCAGCAGTGAGATATAACACTGAGCTGAAAGGGAGCTGGTTGGACCCAGGACTTGGGTGATCATTTGCAGGGAAGATGAGAAGGTAAGAGCAGAGAGAAGGGAAGTAAAGGTAGGTTAGAGACTAAAATATCCCCAGGAAGGAGGCTTTTGACTTCACTTCAGAGGCAGTTTACCATGGTGACTAAGATCACAGGCCGTGGCTTCAGGCAGCCAAAATTTAAATCCCACTTCCCAGCTCTGTGACCCCTGGGAAAGTTCCTTTATCTCCCTTTTTTCAAAATTGTAAAATGGACATAATAATAGTTCTGTTCTTGTTCCTTCTTGTTGTAGAGGACCAAATGAAATAATCCACATGAACTTCTCTGTAAATGGTGGCTCTTGTTAGTTACCGCTGCCTTATTTGCTTTGGACTTGTCCCCTGAGGATCACAGACTGAATGAAGAGGGTGGGGCCTCCACGGGAAGGCTGGCCTTCTCAGATTTGTCTAAATCACATCATTTGAATTGGTGATGATGTTTTGTGTTTGTTACATTTGCTAAAAGCGATCTGTGTCATGAATTCGATAGTTCTAACACTTGGAAAATCTTTATTGTAGGCTAATTCTGCTCTAGTTGAAACTCTGTACAGATACCGATCTGACCTGGAAATCATATTTAATGCCATTGACTCTGATCACTCAGGTAAATAAATGAACTTTGATGAGTTCATTTAAAAAACATATTTGTGTGTGTGTGTATATTGGAGATACAAAGTGAGTACACTTGGATTGAGCCCTATAATTAATATGGTTTGACCCCTTCATTGGTAAGATGGGCCTTGCTTATGCATGCTGTTTAATGAAAATCGTAGGAGCCCATTGTTTTGGACTCAGCTCCTGCCCTAGGCCTCAACAGGCTAGACTACAGGTCAAAATGGGGGTAGCAGTAGTAGAAAGCAGAAGCTAGTCTGGTTCTCTGAAATCAGAACTCTGTTTTTATCTATTTCATTCTTCATTTAACATGATAAAACTTGAGGGGAAAAACAAACTTGTTTAATATTATTGTTATTTCAGTTTGGCTGCAGTCTCTGTATTCAAGATGATAGAGTCCTACAGAAGCCTATGTAGCCATCAGTCAAACTGGAATAACTCTTTATATAAATCACCAGTACAAATGAAGAGGTGATTTGCTATCCATTTCAGTATCTCATTCCTAGAATTCTGATTCTGTTTTGGGGATTAAGGGCTATGAAAACTCATTTTCTGCCTTTAGCTTTGATGTACAATTACTAATTTTCAAATTTTTAAAAACTCATCAGATAATTCCCTACTGCAGAGACCTTTGAACACCAAAAAGATCAATGATCAACGCATTAAATTATTGCCTATAAAAAAGGCAGCGCCATTGTTTGTAATCCTCTTATTGACTCCCAGGGCCTCTTCTCCCTCTTCATTGATGTCACTTTCCTCTCTGCCCTCCTCCTGTGCACCTTACCCTTCTATTTTAGATCCTATCATTTCTATATCACATCTAGTCCCACAGTCCACAACCCCATCCCCATTTCTTCACTGTTTGCTGGTTCTGGCTTTAGAATAAGTTCAGGATCCCTTAGGAGTTGAAAGTGACATATTGTTTCTTACATTTATTTTTATTTTTTTATTTTTCTTTTTAAAGACAGGGTTTCACCATGTTGGTCAGACTGGTCTTGAACTCCTGACCTCAGGTGATCCGCCCACCTCCGCCTCCCAAAGTGCTGAGATTACAGGCGTGAGCCACCACGCCTGGCCCGTTGTTACATTTATAATCTTACTCTTCCATATCCTTCAGTATCTTCATGGTCAGGCATTTTAGTGAGTTTCTAATTGGGACTATTCAATCAGTGTGGCTTCTGCAACCCCTGCCTTAGGTGGGTCTTAAAATGAACACTCATAACCTTCTCTTATATTCTTTTAGGGTTGATCTCCATGGAAGAATTTCATGCCATGTGGAAACTTTTTAGTTCTCACTACAATCTTCATATTGATAATTCCCAAGTCAATAAGATTGCCAACATGATGGACCTGAACAGAGACGGAAGCATTGACTTTACTGAGTTTTTAAAGGCTTTCTATGTAGTACATAAATATGAGACAATGGTGAAACCTGAAGCCACCAACCTTGCTGAACAACACAAATCAGAGCTTCCCTCAGGCCCGTTGTAAACAGCTGGGCCGAAATCACAAGCACAGTCCTTTCCAGCACCCCTGAAATTCATAGTTGGTAGCAGAGAAAAACAGATCCCAATTCAGTCCACAAGCAGATGCATAGTATGGGTTTTGGAAGTCCTTGGCAAGCTGCTATTGATAAGATTAGGTTAAATGTCAGTAATAGGATTTAGGTCCAGCATTAGTACCCACATATTGCCAGTGAGAAACTGGGTTTGAACCTAGTGTTGTTCTCCTGAGTGCCACCTAACCAGCAGCCCAGAGAGGTTTGAGAACATCTTGAAAGGAACCCGCACAGCATAAGAGAAAACTACTAAGCGCAACATCTGTGAGTTACAGAGAGAGAGGGGAGGAATACCAGGTCGTTAATGGAATAAAGCATTTCCATCTTAAACTGTGATCTTCTGTGGAGATTTTACTTTATTTTATTTTATTTTATTTTATTTTATTAAGATGGGGTTTCACCATGATGGCCAGGCTGGTGTTGAACTCCTGACCTCAGGTGATCCACCCACCTTGGCATCCCAAAGTGCTAAGATTACAGGCGTGAGCCACCATGCCCAGCCTCTGTGGAGATTTTATAAGCCAGTGATCCTCAATTAATGGATCCACCCTTCAGGGATGAGAGCCATGTTGGATTCTTGGGGGGAATCTGTGGGAGTGAATTGTTTGAAAAAGCATATTTGTGTGTATGTGTATGTTGGAGATACAAAGTGAGTACACTTGGATTGAGCCCTATACTTAATATGGTTTGACACCTTCACAGGTAAGATGGGGCCTTGCTTATGCATGCTGTTAAATTAAAATCTTAGGAGCCCATTGCTTTGGACTCAGCTACTGTCCTATGCCCCAACAGACTAGACTACAAGTCAAAATGGGGTCACCCATGTTGAGGTGCTATGTCACCAAACTGAAAATGAGTTGTTATCTGACCTACTCGGAAGTCAGGAGATAAAAACAGCCTGATTTCCCAAACAGGCCAGCTTCAGTTGGCATAATAATACAGCTCCCTCTGCCTTACAACAAGAAGTCACCTGAAGTAACCTGGTGGGAACCAGTCAATGATTTGTCTATTATTATTTCCTTGCTTCTGTCTTACAAGGAAGGTAACTCTGAAATGACCAGTCTGCTTTCTGTGCTTTGGTTCTGCTTTCTTCAGTTTTTCTGTCTATAAAAGCAACCTGTTCTGGTCAACTTATCAGCACACTGTATTTTTATGGAAGGAAGTATTACCTGATTCTAGACCCACAAACAAAGCCAGTTAAGATATTTAAATGTTACCTTTTGACTAATCTGGTGGCCATGCCATCAAAGGGACCGTAAGGAGACTACTGATTACTTTTTTTTTTTTTGAGATGGAGTTTTGCTCTTATTGCCCAGGTTGGTATGCAGTGGTGCTCGGGTTCAAGTGATTCTCCTGCCTCAGCCTCCCAAGTAGCTGGGATTACAGGCACGTGCCACCACTCCTGGCTAATTTTTGTATTTTTAGTAGAGATGGGCTTTTACCATGTTGGCCAAGCTAGTCTTGAACTCCTGACCTCAGGCGATCCACCCGCCTCAGACTCCAAAAGTGCTAGGATTATAGGCATGAGCCACGATGCCTGGCCTCTACTAATTAGTCTTAAGGACCTCTTGAGGAATGCAGGAGAGGTGCTGCTGACTCCTTTGAGGTCCTCTGTCTTCCTCACAGAGTCCTGGGTGTTGTAAATAAGTTCCTTTTGGACCAGACTCTGTTCTTTTTGCATTGAGAATCCTGAATTTTTTGGCTTTCAAATCCAAGGCAAATGCCATGAGTGAGCATTTGACCTCAGGGTACTGCTATGATTTGAATATGGTGTGACCCTCTGAAACTCATACTAAAATTTTATTGCCATTGTGGCCATGTTGGGAGGTGGGGTCTTTAAGAAGTGATTAAGTCTGGCTGGGTGCGATGGCTTACACCTGTAATCTCAGCACTTTGGGAGGCGGAGGCCGGCAGATCACCCGAGGTTGGAAGTTCTAGAGCAGCGTGACCAACATGGAGAAACCCTGTCTCTACCAAAAATAAAAAATTAACTGGGCGTGTTAGCATGTGCCTGTAATCCCAACTACTACTTTGCGAGGCTGAAGCAGGAGAATCCTTTGCACTTAGGAGATGGAGGTTGCGGTGAGCCAAGATCATGCCATTGCACTCCAGCCTGAGCAACAAGAGCAAAACTCCATTTAAAAAAAAAAAAAGTGATTAGGTCTTTAAGAGGGATTAGTGGCCGGGCATGGTGGCTCACACCTGTAATCCCAGCACTTTGGGAGGCTGAGGTGGGCGGATCACAATGTCACGAGGTCAGGAGATCCAGACCATCCTAGCTAACACGGTTAAAACCCATCTCTACTAAAAACACAAAAAATTAGCTGGATCTGGTGGCATGCGCCTGTATTCCCAGCTACTTGGGAAGGCTGAGGCAGGAGAATCGCTTTAACCTGGGAGGTGAAGGTTGCAGTGAGCTGAGATCATGCCATTGCACTCTAGCCTGGGCAACAGAATGAGACTCTGTCAAAAAAAAAAAAGAGGAATTGGTGCCTTTCTCATGGGAACCAGTTAGTGATTGAAAAAGTTCAGCCCCCTTTTCTCTGGTGTGTGAGTGCCCTCTCCCCTACCTTTCACTTTCCGCCGTGCTGTAAAACAGCATGAGGGCCTCATTGGATGCAGCCACCCAATCTTGGACTTCCCAGCCATGAGCTAAATAAACCACCATTCTTTATAAATTACCCAGCCTCACGTATTCTGTTATAGCAACACAAAACAGACTATGACAGATATCAAGGGTTTGTGCCATGAGAGGACACGTGACTTTTGGGTTTGCAGTGGATGTCACCTGCAAGGGCTGTGTTTTAGAGGTAACTGACAGTAGTTGCAGTAGCTGATTGTTACTGTTGGAGTGAGCCTGGCTTTCAGAATTCACAGCTATCTATCCACTTTATTTCTTCTCTTCTTATGTGCTGAGATAAGAAAAATCATTAGCTTGGCTGGGTGTGGTGGCTTGTACCTGTAACTTTAGCACTTTGGGAGGCCTAGGCGGGCAGATCATGAGATCAGGAGTTTGAGACCAGCGTGGCTAACATGGTAAAACCCCGTCTCTACTAAAAATACAAAAATTAGCTGGATGTGGTGGTGCGTGCCTGTAATCCCAACTACTCAGGAGGCCGAGGCAGGAGAATCACTTGAACCCGGGAGGTGGAGGTTGCAGTGAGCCAAGACCGTGCCATTGCACTCCAGCCTGGGTGATAGAGTGAGACTCGTATCTCAAGAAAAAGAAAAGAAAAAATTAGCCCGGTGTGGTGGCACACACCTGTAATCCCAGCTACTCGGGAGGCCGAGGCAGGAGAACTTCTGCAACCCAGGAGGCGGAGGCTGCAGTGAGCCGAGACTGCACCACTGCACTCCAGCCTGGGGGACAGAGTGAGACTCTGTCTCAAAAAAAAAAAAAAAAAAAAAGTAAAAGAAAAAAAGTCATTAGCTAAATTGGTTAAGGGGATTTCAGAGCCAAAGCCAACTGGCTCTGAGAGACCCAAGTTCCAACATAAAAATAGGATCCTTAACTTCGAAAGAACTGAGTCCGCTTGGCTTTAGGGTACCCCTGTGTTAGTGGTTCTTTCCCTCCCATGCACAGCTATTGGTTTCCTATTTGTTATGTTTTTGTGTCCTGAGAACTTGGTCAACCAACCAAAGGTTGAGAGTTGCCAAGAATATGGCTAGACAGAAATGTGGGTTGCACCCTGTTTGTGAATAGCGTACTGACTGTTATATCTAAATCTTCCTTTCTTTTCGCTGTCTTTAGTACTCTGGATTTTGATCTAGAAAGATTAATAAAAAACATAATGGACACCCCAAGTTCTAATGCATGCAAATATAGTCCCCCTTTAGGGACTCTAGCCAGCTATATGTTCAAATATTATGGTTCATTCTTGTGGACATTTTTAAACCTATGGGCGGATTATACCAAGGGCTTGGCCAGGCGTGGTAGCTCATGCCTGTAATCCCAGCGCTGTGGGAGGCCAAGGTGTGTGGATCACTTGAGGTCAGGAGTTTGAGAGCAGCTTGACCAACATGGTGAAACGCTGTCTCTAATAAAAATACAAAATTAGCCGGGCATGGCAGCACACACCTGTAATCCCAGCTACTTGGGAGGCTGAGGCAGGGGAATCACTTGAACCCAGGAGTCAGAGGTCCCAGTGACCTGAAATCATACCATTGCACTCCAGCCTGGGCAACAAGAGTGAAACTCCTTCACACACACACACACACACACACTCAAAAACCAAAAAAAAGATTAAACCAAGGACCATTTGGAGCTCCAGTGGCCTTTTTGTGGACTGTTCGAACCTCCCAAGTGTGTTGTTTGTTTTTGTTTTGAGAGGGACTCTTGCCCTGTCACCCAGGCTGGAGTTCAGTGGTGCAATCTCAGCTCACTGCAATGTCCACCTCCTGAGTTCAAGCGATTCTCCTGCCTCAGCCTCCCAAGTAGCTGGGATTACAGGTGCACACCACCATGCCTGGCTAATTTTTTTTGTATCTTTGGTAGAGATGGGGTTTCACCATGTTGGCCAGGCTGGTCTCGAACTCCTGAACTTGTGATCTACCTGCCTTGGCCTCACAAAGTTCTGGGATTATAGGCATGAGGCACCGCACCTGGCCTGTTTTTATTCTTAGAAGTAAATTAGAAGACTGTAGCTATAGGGTTAAAGTCTGAATGGGATGTATGTAATTGATTAGCGTGTAGAGGCTTCTAAGCTCTCGTTCTCTCTGTCCTCCCCTGCCTACTTAGAATCTGCTGACTTTTTTGCTTGGTTACCTGCCCAGGATTCCAAAATAGCCTTTTTAAAAGATTCATTGCAAAGAGCTAATGAAAGGCTAGAAATGGAAGATATCCCCCACACCAAGGATGGTAAAACTGATGTAATTCCTACTGCTGCTCTCTAGCCTACTTTGCCTGAATATTTAGACTATTCATACTCTGATTTGCCTTTCTTCTGTGGAAACAAAAAAAAAAAACAAAACCTGAAACAGTTAAACAGTTTCCTTGTAGCATAAAACCACCTGAAAATTTAGGAGATAATCCTGGAGTGATTTACATTCCCTGGATAAAAACAGCTCAGGGCCATAGTTTTAAAATTTTGCAAACCCAGGAAAGACCTTTAAAAGTTTTCTGAAGGCTGGGCACGGTGGCTCACCCCTGTAATCCCAACACTTTGGGAGGCCAAGGTGGGTGGATCACGAGGTCTGGAGTTCGAGAGCAGCCTGGCCAAGATAGTGAAACCCTGTCTCTACTAAAAATACAAAAACATTAGCCGGCACAGTGGCAGGTGCCTATAATCTCAGCTACTTGACAGGCTGAGGCAGGAGAATCACTTGAACCCGGGAGG